AGCAACCTTTTCTCGAACAAACACTACAAGAAAAACGTAAATTTCCGACGAAAATATGAATCTGTCAGAAAATTTATATTTTCTGACGAAAAATTTCTGATGGAATATTCTGTTGAAAATTTTCGAATACTATGACTATGAGAATGTGGAACGTGATGAAATGAGATAAGACATGAAATTCCATGACAAGTAAAGTCATGGTCCATGAAGTGTGAATCTGTGTGACATGCATCATGTGCATCTATGTGACAGGTACGATATGGAGTACACCGTTAGGGAAGGCCCTCCTTGTGTAACAGCTTGGGGGAGCCCTAGGGGATAGTGCAGTTTGGATGTCTCAATTCCGCCCATTTGTTAGCACGAGACGTAACTTACGCAGCTTCGCTATCTCGACCAGACCCTAATAGTACATCTTTCTAGTTGAGAGTGTATGAGTAGCTCCTTACATATACTCCTAGACTACTTTAAGTGTGTTGTTTAGGCAACACACCAGTGATATGTGATATGAATGACTGTGCATGTGTTACTATTGTGTGTATAATTTTAATTTGCACCTGATTAATGTGTAGTTATGGTTGTGTTTGTTATGATTTGTGTGTGTGTTGTCTGACTGTTATTTTTACACCTGAACCCGAGTGAGATGTTTCTCACTCCCCTGTTTCATTTTCTTGTAAATTCCACCTTTGACCATGATTTACGTTTACGAATGTGAATTCTCTACTCTTATGTTAGTGGAACCATTGTTTTAATTCAAATGATTTTATTTACTCTGAGAATATGTTTTATAATTATTGTATATGTATGTTGAGGTAGAGGGTGTCACAATAGCGACTTTATAATATAATTTTATTTATTTAAAATTTATGAAAAATTTATATTTTACTGCTAATAAAAAAATTTACTTATTTTATTATATTTATATTTACAATTATATATACATATATTTTTTTATAATTATATTTCTTATATTAAACAATTCAATTCAAAAATGAATTTATTTTTTCTTTATTTTTAACAATTCATGTTAGTCTTAAAAATTATTAAATAAATTTAATTTTTTTAAAAATGTTATTTGCTAAAAATTTAAATAAATTGTTTTTTTTAAAAGAAATAATTAATTAGTGTCGTTATAGCCTGTAACGATTTCATTTAATTATTTAAAAAAAAATTGAAGCGCTATAGCCTGCAGCGACTTCGTAAAAATAAAATTAAGTGTTGTGTGTTGTTACTGGCCGTAGCA